GATGGATGGATGGATGGATGGATGGATGGATGGATGGATGGATGGATGGATGGATGGATGGATGGATGGATGGATGGATGGATGGATGGATGGATGGATGGATGGATGGCGTTTGAAAAATATCTTACAAGACCTGTGTGCATCATACCACAGGTCAGATAGTTTACAATTAAACAATAGAAAGTTATAATCTTACACTCTTGTAGCAGCTTCAAGTTAACCCAGCATTCTTCATTGTGGTCCACACTAAGAAATGAGCAGCAGAAACAGAAAAATCACAATCACATACAGTAAGCAGTTTAGAAAACATAATAGTAAATTTAGTGAAATATTCCTTTAACAGTCCTCCGTTAACTGTTAAACACACTTGAGGCATTGCAGACTGCAGTGTGGAGCCCTCTGTTGTTCAGTCAGCAGCTTGACTCCTTCATTTGTCAGGTAATTAAAGCTGAGGTCCAGCTCTTTGAGGACGCAGTGAGCAGATGTCAGAGCTAATGCCAGAGAAGAACATCCATCGACTGTCACTTTACAAAATGACAACCTGGAGAAATGAAACATCACACATTTATACTTGCTAATACATCTGATGGAACTCATGTAAATAAATAATGTTTCAGCCTCCAACATATAAATCTGTTATTTTTATACAAACCCAAGTGTTCTCAAAGTGCAGAATGGAGTCCTCAGCACATTGCAAAGCTCCGTCACTCCAGCATCACACAGATCATTGTAGCTCAGGTCCAGCTTTCTTAAAGATGAAGGTCTGGAGAGGAGTGCTGAGGCAAGGGTCTCACAACCTTTTGCAGTCAGCTTGTTGTGACTAAGGCTGAATAACAAATAAATCTGATCAAATAAAATTGCAGCACATTTATTTGATATTATTTTCTTCAAATTATCAAGTCTTTAAGTAGGTAAGTGCTATGAGTTGTCACCATTGTATGTTCCCATACAATGGCAAAATTGTTTATCTGCATTTAACCCCACTACTGGGATATACCCAGATGGAGCAGTGGGCAGCTATGTAAGCACCTGGGGAGCAGTTAGGGATTAGTCGTCTTGCTCAGGGACACCATGGCATGTGGGAATGGCTGGGAGTTAAACTGTGACTTTCTGGTCCCAAGTTGGCTGCCCTACCGCTACACCACCTCGGACCCATGAAATACCAAATAAGTACTAAATATACTAACTAAATACTAAATGCTTACAAAATAAGTACCGTTATGTCATTTGGTGCTCCATAAATCTTTAAATTACACTGTTCATATTATTGACTGAAGAAATGGCCACAAACAATCCCCTCATCAAGATGTCTTTTTGGTTATTCACATATGGACTAATCAAGCCAAAGGTGAAGGTGCAAAAAAGGGGGGAACATTATCCGTTTCTTTGTTTCAGTTAAAAAATATCTCATGAACTAGACAAAGATTTTATTGAAAGTCTCAGAAAGTAATAACTTGATGTATACAGTATGTACAATTAATTCCTAAACAATATGGCTACCACAGCTAAACCTTAACTAACACAAAAAGATATAATTAAGACTATTTTAAAGATACTTTGATAACATTTGGTGTTAGTATTTGAGAGCCACCTGCAACAAATACACTGATTGCTAACTGATGGTGTGTGGATGAAAAATGATATGATTGCAAAGAATACTGAATACTTGTAGATGAAGAGGTTTTGAACAAGCACTTTCTTGAAGCTGGTTGACTCATGGGTTTAAATCTGCACAAATCACGAGCAAACAAATGAATACAGATATAAACTGCCTGCTTTCTTTGTGCTTCCTTTTGTCACAACTTCTGCAGACTCTGTAAAATGTGTAACTTGCTGTTACATCCACTAATTTCTAGGGGTTCTCTTACTAGAGGACAACAACCTTTCTCCTCTGCTTGTTTACAGGCCTGCTGCCACACCATGCTGCACACCTGGAACCACTTCCTCCTCATCAGTGGACTGCGTAAAAGCTTCAGTGATCCAGTGCTACACCCCCCCCCCCCTTTCTCCTTGGGCATTTCCACTTGATTCTGAGCATTGTAGTGTGGTTGACTTTGAACTCTGTACAAAGCAGTTTAGCAACTCTTGAGTTGATTTATGTTCACTTCTGTGAACAATTCTATTTAAGAAACATTTTGTTTAGATGGGAAGTTTGGTAGAGGTGCTCTGCCATTTTATTTTTAACTAACTTTTCTCCTGTTTTGTGGCCAGCCAAGGAGCCTAGCAATTGTAGTTGTAGTTTTGTTAGATAAGCGGTGATTTTGTTTTCTAGCCATACGGGACATTTTTTTGTTTGGTGTTTTGGTCTTGGAGACCCTGACATTCATGGCTTCCCCTCCTGTCTGTAACGCCCAAAACTCTTACTTGATTAAATTATTATAATGCCAAGTTGGGTTGTTTTCGAGTTATTAGCTTTATGTTAGTTTACAATGTTTGTGTTACACCTTGCACCTTCTAGACTTATTCCAAGGGTTGTAACATTTGCTAAAGCGTTTAATAAATCTTCACAAATAATTACTGACTTCTTCAATTCTTGAGTCTAGCATTATTTCAGAAAATCCACAACACATACAAGATCTGTTCTAAAAGCGTTACTATTGCCATTGTCTATTACAAAAGGGATTTTGCAAAACTGTTCCATAAAATGGCTACAGACTGTTTATCTTTAAGTTGTTACAGGCTTGCTCCTATCACACAGCTACAGTCATCTTTCTTTATTTTTGTCTCTCACATAAGACTGTATACAACATCCTTTACGAGCCTTGACCAAAATGGCTACAACGCAATCATTTATCATCATATGAGGATCTTAGTTTAAAAAGAAAACTGCTATGCTAGCAATTGATCAGTTAGAAAGATTAAAAACACAAAGAAAATAGCTTTGCAGCTTTGTTAGTGTGGTTTATAGACACACAAGCAAACAGACACAGTCTGTATTGTGATTTCTATTGTCCTCTTTTTAATTTAATACGCATACTTATAAAAACTAAAACAATGCTTGTTGTGTAATTGCTGCATTACCTCAGTGCCTCCAGTGTACAGTTTGTGTTCATCAGTGCAGCTGAGAGGATCTCCATTTCAGAGTCTTTAAACTTGGTGAAACTCAGTTCAAGCTCTCGCAGATTAGATGAGTTAGACGTGACTGTTGTCACAATCTCCTTGCAGATATCGCTAATGCCACCGTTTTGGTTTAGCCTTATTGTGGAGAGAGAGAGAGTGAAGTTAAACTGAGCTTCATACACAAATAATGACACAAATAAATGACACAGATCATTCCACCAGTGTTGTAATTAAAACCTAAAACTTTCAGTCCCTTATGGTTGTTTACATTATTAGGGGTGCGCCGATAAATCGGCTGGCTGATTTATCCGCCCTGATTTCCTTAATTTTGGGAGAGTGGAGATCAGCCGATACTTAAATGAGAAACCAATTTTACCAATTTTTTTTTTTTTTTTTTTTTTGGTAGTTTTAACAATTGTCTAAACTTAATTTATATTTCAGAGCACTAAATCGTGGCCAGTTAAAACAAGTTTGTATTGTTTCTAGGATATTGTTCAAGGGTATGTTTTTTTCAATAAAATAAGATTGGGAAATTGAAGGTGCATTGTGACCTAATAACACCTGACAGTGTCGCTTATAAAACAAAATCGGTATCGGCCAAAATCAGAATCAGCAGGTCAGACTTTTTAGAGAGAGGTGATTGGCCAGAAAACTGCAATCAGTGCACCCCTATAAATTATATACAACAGAGAGCTGAGACATATGGAACAGAATCAAAGTATTTTCATTTTTTAGAATTTCAAGAAAAATGTCAGAATTCTAAATATTTCTTCTTTTATTTTTAACCATGGCCCTAATCCTCCAAAAGCAGAATAATTTAGCAGCAGTTCACTCTTGGACTGACCTGAGCTTCTCCAGTTTATGGCTGCTTAGCCCTACAGAAATCACAGACAACAATGGTGATTCCATCAAAACGTCACCACTCAGTTCCAGCTCTTTTAGATTTGGGAGAATGGATTTAATAGCAGATGCAATATTTTCTTGCATTACTCCTGAAGAATTGTCTCCCGAGAGACTGTAAACACATAAGACAAACACTAGAAATTATTTCACAGTCACATTATTATAGATATTCACATTTATTTTTTGAGCAGGGTGGGGGTGCAGTGTGATGTGGTTCAGTGTTTAGAGCAATTGTCCTCTAACAAGAGGCAGTGGTTAATCACATGTTCAAGTATCACTGGACAAGACATTGAACCCCTCAGTGTCTTTGATATGTGCCCTATTGGTGTATGAATGTGACCTAAAGCACTTATTACCGGTAGTCTGTACAGAATGATTCATTGAGTTTAGCTTTGCAGAGATCTAGTAGAGTGCTGTATGAATGTGTGTGTGTATGTGGATGGGTAAATGGGGGCACAGATTGTGTTGCAAAGCTCTTTGGATACCCTGGTTGGCTAGAAAGGTGATATATACAGTGCCGTGTGAAAGTATTTGGCCCCCTTGAACTGTTCAACCTTTTGCCACATTTCAGGCTTCAAACATAAAGATATAAAATTTTAATTTTTTGTGAAGAATCAACAACAAGTGGGACACAATCGTGAAGTAGAATGAAATTTATTGGATGTGTCAAACTTTTTTAACAAATAAAAAACTGAAAAGTGGGGCGTGCAATATTATTCGGCCCCTTTACTTTCAGTGCAGCAAACTCACTCCAGAAGTTCAGTGAGGATCTATGAATGATCCAATGTTGTCCCAAATGACTGATGATGATAAATAGAATCCACCTGTGTGTAATCAAGTCTCCGTATAAATGCACCTGCTCTGTGATAGTCTCAGGGTTCTGTTCAAAGCGCAGAGAGCATCATGAAGACCAAGGAACACACCAGGCAGGTCCGAGATACTGTTGTGGAGAAGTTTAAAGCCAGATTTGGGTACAAAAAGATTTCTCAAGCTTTAAACATCTCAAGGAGCACTGTGCAAGCAATCATATTGAAATGGAAGGAGTATCAGACCACTGCAAATCTACCAAGACCCGGCCGTCCCTCTAAACTTTCATCTCGAACAAGAAGAAGACTGATCAGAGATGCAGCCAAGAGGCCCATGATCACTCTGGATGAACTGCAGAGATCTACAGCTGAGGTGGGAGAGTCTGTCCATAGGACAACAATCAGTCGTACACTGCACAAATCTGGCCTTTATGGAAGAGTGGCAAGAAGAAAGCCATTTCTCAAAGATATCCATAAAAAGTGTTGTTTAAAGTTTGTCACAAGCACCTGGGAGACACACCAAACATGTGGAAGAAGGTGCTCTGGTCAGATGAAACCAAAATCAAACTGTTCGGCCACAATGCAAAACGATATGTTTGGCATAAAAGCAACACAGCTCATCACCCTGAACGCACCATCCCCACTGCCAAGCATGATGGTGGCAACATCATGGTTTGGGCCTGCTTTTCATAGCAGGGACAGGGAAGATGGTCAGAATTGATGGGAAGATGGATGGGGCCAAATACAGAACCATTCTGGAAGAAAACCTGTTTGAGTCTGCAAGAGACCTGAGACTGGGACGGAGATTTATCTTCCAACAAGACAATGATCCAAAACATAAAGCCAAATCTACAATGGAATGGTTCACAAATAAACATATCCAGGTGTTGGAATGGCCAAGTCAAAGTCCAGACCTGAATCCAATCAAGAATCTGTGGAAAGAGCTGAAGACTGCTGTTCACAAACGCTCTCCATCCAACCTCACTGAGCTCGAGCTGTTTTGCAGGAAGAATGGGCAAGAATTTCAGTGTCTCCATGTTCAAAACTGACAGAGACAAACCCCAAGAGACTTGCAGCTGGAACTGCAGCAAAAGGCGGCGCTACAAAGTATTAATGCAAGGGGGCCGAATAATATTGCACGCCCCACTTTTCAGTTTTTTATTTGTTAAAAAAGTTTGACACATCCAATAAATTTCATTCCACTTCACGATTGTGTCCCACTTGTTGTTGATTCTTCCAAAATAATTAAAATTTTATATCTTTATGTTTGAAGTCTGAAATGTGGCAAAAGGTTGAAAAGTTCAAGGGGCCGAATACTTTCGCAAGGCACTGTATCTATAGTCCGTCTACCATTTGTTTTTATGATGTGTTGAATTTTGTCTTACATCAACATTTTACTTTAGTTAACTTTAGTGAGCACTATCCATCCATCCATCCATTATCTTTACCCGTTTGTTCCATTTTGGGTCACGGGGGTCGCTGGTGCCCATGTCCAGCAATCCCTGTGCGAGGGGCGGGGGACACCATGGACGGGTCGCAAGTCCATCACAGGGACACATAGAAACAAACGAGACAAACAACCATTCACTCTCTCACTCACACCTAGGGACAATTTAGAGTTACCAATCAGCCTAACATGCATGTTTTTGGTCTGTGGGAGGAAACCGGAGTACCCGGAGAAAACCCACGCATGCACGGAGAGAACATGCAAACTCCACCCAGAAAGGCCCCTGGACCGGGGTTTGAACCAGGGACCTGCTCGCTGAGAGGTAGCAGCTCTACCAGTTGCGCCACCGTCCTGCCCAAGTGAGCACTAGTAAAAATGTATTCTTGGTTGAAAACTTCTAATAGTAGCACAGTAGAATTTATACCATGCATTTTTTTAAATATAACTTAAACTTAGTTTATGGGATAAACCTCTTAAATCCATTCATCCATCTATTATCTTTACCCATTTCTTCCTTTCCAGGTCACGGGGGTCACTGGTGCCCATATCCAGCAGTCTCTGTGCAAGAGGCGGGGCACACCCTGGACAGATCTCCAGTCCATCACAGGGACACATAGACAAACGAGACAAACAACCATTCACACTCTCACTTACTCCTAGGGACAATTTAGTTACCAATCAGCCTAACATGCATGTTTTTGGTCAGTGGAAGGAAACCGGAGTAACCGGAAAAAACCCACGCATGCACGGAGAGAACATGCAAATTCCTCCCAGAAAGGTCCCCGGCCAGAATTTGATCCAGCGACCTTCTCTTTGAGAGGAAACAGCTCTACCAACTGAGCCACTGTGCTACCCTCTCTTAAATCACTCTTTAAAATGTTTTTAGACATCACCAAATCTTTTAGTTCTCAGTAAAAAAAAAAAAAAAAAACTCAAACGAGTTTCAATAAACTGACACTATGGGATAATATGAATAGTGGTAGGCACTGGTATTGTTTATTTATTTCCTCTAAATCCAAAACAGCAAACCTAAACCTATTACCCTGATGCATGCTCAATAATCCAGGTAGAAAAATCCAAAAAAGTTCAATCTGGTCCTCTGGACATTCAAAAAAACAAAAAACAACACAAAGCAAAAAAATATAGAAACGTTTTGTCTCTCATCCAAGAGACTTCCTCAGTCTGAGGTGCTGTTTTCAGCTCAGTCTCTTAAATAGCACCTTCTCAGAGTGGATCAACCAGTTTGCTGCTGACAACCAAAACAAACTGGTTGATCCACTCTGAGAAGGTGCTATTTAAGAGACTGAGCTGAATACAGCACCTCAGACTGAGGAAGTCTCTCGGATGAGAGACGAAATGTTTCTGTATTTTTTTGCTTTGTGTTGTTTTTTGTTTTTTTGAATGTCCAGAGGACCAGATTGAACTTTTTTGGACTAAACCTATTACATTTGTAAGTCTTTGTTGCAAAAACATTTAAGTATAGAAATGACTATTCAAATCAAGCTGACGGCATCTGTGCAAATTTATCAGCCTTTTAAAATGTTTTCCGTACATAGTTTTAGTGTAAAAAAAAAAAAAAGACAAATACAATAGCCAAAATAAAAGTCTCACTCACCTGAGAGCCTCTAATTTACACTGAGAGTTTTTCAGTCCATCAATCAAGATTTCTGTACCTTTATCAAAGAAGATACAATTTATCAAGTGTAGTTCAGTTAGCACAGAGTGTGGCATCCACAAAGCTGAAGAGATTGTTTCACTTATAGAAGACTCAAAATCAAAACCCGAGATTCTGCAAGAAGCACAAGACACAATGCTTCAAAAATAAGAAACTGTTTTGAAGGCATACAAAAGTTTAGCCATAATTTAACCACCTATTAAAATGCTGTACAGCAGGGGCGTTTTTAGGGTCTTGAAATATTGGGGGCTTTAGCCCAGACCCCTTATTCATCCTTTTCCCTATTAAAAAGTGCCCCTTCAAGTCTGTAGTTCTCAAAATTTCAGACTATTATTGTTATAATTTGTTTATTTAGAATATACAATCACAACTAATTTCTGTCAGCAGTGGAAAATAACATTTATAATCCAAGCCGGGAATTTGATACCATCCCAGGTCATCACCACCCAATTAACGCAAACCACCAAGACTGAGTAAAAATGAGTGCACTTTGTCCCCCATATGTGTACTTGCTTAGCAACGTGGTGGCCATCGATGTCAGAAGCATTTGTAATGTGGAGAGGGGGACACACACTTGTGGGGGGGGGGGGGGGGTCTGGGGGTCCTCCCCCAGAAAATTTTGTATAAAGTAGATGCCATTTCCTGCATTCTGGTGAATTTAAACAAGCTGTTAAACATCTAGTTGTACCTACAAAAGTAACACTTGATTCAATAAGCTCTCAACCTTGACCTCTCTAAGGGACTTTAAACATCTGCTAAGTTCATGGCAAAAATCAATGCAGACATGTTTCTGTTTTTAGTATTTTATATCACTTTATAATGTAGCTGGTTTTGTTTTGTTTTTCAATATAATTTCTTCCATTTACTTTTCATTTTACCAGTATATGTTTGTTTAGCTAAATGTAGTAGGATTGTTAGTCAGATAGTATATAAAAGTCTTCTTTTATTTTAATGAACTACCAGTAAGTAATTACTGTTTGGTTTAACAATGCAAATGCAACCAGTATTGAAAGGCAAACTCACCTTGCTTTTCTGCTGTTCCTCACAGCTGGGACAAGCCTGAAAACACCTTTTCTTGTTGGTCTGTATTTCTTCAGGTTGAATTCTTCAATAGGTGTTTTGGAAATTAGAATTAGGTCGGCCAAAGCTGAGCATTGAACAGGAGAGAGTTGTGTTTCTGGACTTTGATTGGAATTCACAAACTGACTCACACTCTCATATAAGGAACTGTCTTTCAATTCGGTCAAACAGTGAACAAGGTTCAGACATCTATCAGCTGAGCAATCTAATAAATCCATGTCTGTTAGACTTGTCCTTATTTTCTCAACAACTTCAGAGTGTTCTTCTGTTTGCTGAATTAATCCTTGAAGCAGTTCTTGTGTTGACTTCAAAGACATGCCAATGAGGAACCTGAGAAACATGTCCAACTCTCCAGTCTTTCTCAGAGCGGAATTAGCTATTGTAATTTCAATTAGCTCATCCAAAGGTAGATCAATTGGATCTGCATCCAAGATGGCTTTGAGCTCATCCTCAGATCCTTTCAGCAAAAAGGCCTTGAGGTTTTGAGAATCAATAGTTTTACTTGCAAAACTCTTGTAAACAAACAGGGCCGCAAAATATTCTTGAACTGTCAAATGCACAAAGCAATAAAGTTTCTTTGAGTGAAAAACACTCTCCTCTTTGAATATTGATGTACACAATCCACAGTACACTCCAGCTTTCTCTATGTCAAGGCCATATTTTTTCAGATCATCATTAGTGAATACAATTTCACCTCTTTCCAGTTTTTCAAACGCCATTCTACCTAATTTGAAGATGAACTCCTTATTTGACTCAAAGATCTCTGCAATTTCCGAATAAGTCTCGTTGTCATATTTTTCAGTTGCTACCTCCATCTGAATGCAAAAGAAGTGTGTGTACATTTCAACAAGTGTTGTGGGTGTCTTTATGTTTTCTTCTTGACCGTTTCCTATCTTTAAAAGCAAATGCTCCAGAACTTTCGAGGCTATCCAACAGAAAATTGGTATGTGACACATAATGAATAGGCTCCGTGACATTGTAATACTGGTAATAATTTTTTCAGCTATCGCTTTGTCTTCAACTCTTTTCCTGAAGTACTCTAATTTTTGTGGATCATTGAAACCTCTGACCTCTGTCCATAGATAGACGTATTGTTTAGGGACGCGCTGAATTGCTGCAGGTCTTGAAGTTATCCAGACAAGTGTAGAAGGAAGAAGATGTTCCCGGATGAGGTTAATCACCAGAGTATCCACTGATGATGCCTTTGTAGGGTCTGTCAACCTTTTTGTTGTTTTGAATTTCAGTTCAAGTTGGCTTTCATCAAGGCCATCAAAAATGAACAGAATTTTGCAATTAGCTAACATTTTAGCAACTGCTACGTCCTTAAAATCTACATAAAACTCTTTTACAAGTGTCTCAAGGCTTAAATCTTCATCTTTGACCAAATTAAGCTCCCTGAAAGGAAACATGAAAATAAAATCCAGGTCTTGATTGGCTTTCCCATCTAACCAGTCGAGGATAAACTTCTTCACAGAAACAGTTTTTCCAATACCAGCAATGCCCTTTGTCATGACCATCCTGATAGATCTCCCTTTTGTTCTGTCACACCTAGATGGCACATCTTCTGGATTACTTTTAAATATATCATTGCAATGTATTTTAATGCCCTCTGCTGTTTGAGTCCTGAGCTTATCTTCAATCTCCCAAATCTCATGCTGTTTATTAACATGCTCACTCTCTCCTTGTACAATGTGAAGCTCTGTGTAAATTTGATCCAATGTTTTTGATTCCATACGGGCGTTTTCAGGGCCTTCAACATCTAATGTGCATTTTTCTCTTAGATACTCTTTGTACTTTTTAATGGCATTTGTAGAGATAGTTTCAGCTGCAGAAACAGAAATATAAAAGTCACAGTAAAAATAAAAATTGAATTATCATATCAACATTTAAACAATGCATGTAAATTTAAACTGAACATTAAATTTTAAACAGTTTTATTGGATATGGCAAATAATGAACTGCAGCTCTAACAGTGCTTTGTGATTTGCAACTTTGGCTTTAGCAAATAAAATACAGATACATATGATCATTCTTCAAAAGCTGTTTTCTACATTAAAATGTCAAACAAACTAATAAAATGTAAATATATATATATATATATATATATATATATATATATATAAACTTTACATACATGTCTGGATATCAGGCTGAATTTCTCTAAGGATGTTGTAGAAAGCAAATTTTGCTTTTGTAGAAGTAAGAGCACTGTAGACCTCCCTCATTTGATCTTGGCTTGTCCTGGCAGCTCTTATATTGTTGTACATCTCTTTATGGATTACGTGCCTCTCAAGCATCAGGTCAGCTATGGGCATCACTGCAGAGATGCTTTGGATGAGCTCAGCCCTGTTGTTGTCTACCCAAGTAGCTTTTGTAAACGAAAGCAAACACATTAGAGGATTAATTTGGTCAAAATACCATTTTTATACACACTCCTCACATTTTGGATACTTGTGTGTTAGTATTGCATTGTATTTAAGGCTACACTGTATACTTGATTCAAACTCACTTTTGTCTTCTGCACTGGTTGACACAGCATCAGATGCACTGAAAAACACAAAAGCAATTTAACTTAAAGTTACAAACTATAGATGCTGACAGTAATTAACAGTTTTATATTTTTATGTTTATCTTGCGTGTTGTATGTTTAAATTATGTAAAATACAAAAGCACACAATTGGATTTTTGTCAATGTTGTCTGCCTTGTCTGCCACACTGCCTTAAACTGTGGCAGCAAGGTTGTCGGTGCCTCTCAAGGCAGCCATCCTTGAACACAGTGGTGAACACCCCCAGGTGGGAGAGGCCATCAAGCTGAAAAAAGAATCATATCAGGCCATGGTGGCTTGTACGACTCAAGATGCAGCTGACGGGTTGTGGCAGATTCTATTTGAAGTCCTGGCTGTAACTGAGGCAAAAGCTCAAATGTGGGAGAAGTTGGATGAAGCCTTAGACAGAGACTCTTGTTTGAGAAGACTCTGGCAAACTTATCAGGTGGCTGAGAAGGAGAAAACAGCACATTACTATCACTGTGTGTGTGTGGGGGGGGTGGGGGTGGGGGGGGGTTCCCTTCTGAAGTCCATGACCATCTCCTTTGGTTATTCTCCTTGCACCAGCTCTCCAGGTGTTCCACCTCCTGCCTGTTGCTGGACTCATCGTTGTTTGTGATGCATCCCACCACCGCTGTGTCATCTGCAAACTTTACAATGTGACAGCCTGGATGGGTAGCTGCACAATCATACGTGAGCAGAGTAAACAAGAGAGGGCTCAGCACACTCCCTGAGGGGAGCCAGTGCTGAGGGTTATGGTGGAGGAGGAGAAGTTGTAGATCGTCACAGACTGTGGTCTGTTTGTTAAGAAGACTAGGATCCAGTTGCAAATGGAGGGGCTTAGTCCTAGTGTGAGTAGTTTGTCCTTCAGGGTTTGGGGGGATCATGGTATTGAAGGCAGATGGGAAGTTCACAAAGAGCATATGACGTAGGAGTCCTTCTGCTCCAGGTGGGTGACAGCAGTGTGGACCACAGAGGAGATGAGGTTTTCTGTTGATTGATTCTCACGGTATGCGTACTAGTGAGGGTCCTTGTTAATGTTGATGGTTGTTCTGATGTGAGTCATGACCAGTTTTTCGAAGCATTTAGCGACTATCGGGGCGAGGTCTAGTGGCCAATAGTCATTCAGACCAGTCACTATAGAGCTCTTTGGAACTGGGATGATGACTGCATTCTTCAGGCAGGTGAGAACTGTTGCTAGGGTGAGTGAGGAGTTAAAGATGTCGGTCAGCACCTGGCAGAGCTAGTCAGGACAATCTTTCAGCACCTTCCCGGGGATGTCGTATGGGCCAGTTGCTTTGTGAGGATTAATCCTCCTGAAAGTACTTCTCACTTCAGCTGAGGTCATGCTGAGAAGCACTTCTTCCAGTGGAGAGGTGAGTCTGGTGCTGGGTGGTCTGTTCAGGTCTTCAAAGCATGCGTAGAACTTGTTGAGGGCATCAGGCAGTGATCGGTCTCTAGAGCATTGTTCATTTCTGCCTTTATAATCTGTTATACACTTAATGCATGCAAAACAATCTTTCAGTATGGGGCCACTATTCACTATTTGTTCAGTGCCCTGATATTACTTCTGTTGTGACTTGGCATTATATAAATAAATTGAAAAGAATTGAACTGAATTGATCCAACAATTTTTCAGTCAGGTCATCTAGACAGTTTCTTTTTTTTTGCTGAAACGTTTCACCTTCCATCCAGAAGGCTTCATTAGTCAAAGAAGCACACAACACAAAACTGATTCTTCCCCGAAACAGCTTACTCCAAAGTGGAACAAACTAGTTATGTTGGTGCTAAGATGGTGTCTTTGGCAGGCACCCTCCTGTGGTGCCGGCCCTCTTTCTCGTCGACAGTCATGTCAAACTGGTTCAACACCAAAAAAGTCCATGCTCAATAATCCAGGTATACAATCCAACAATTTTCAGTCAGGTCATCTGGACAGTTTCTTTTTTTTTTTTTTTTGCTGAAATGTTTCACCTTCACTGTATCACAAGCTACAGTACATATGTCATTGTGCAAAACGTCATTATTTTAATGTGAACAAAATGTTGTGTCCGAAAGGTGTATACGTCTCATTTCTTCCAGAGCAGGACCCTCAACTAGGCTACAACTGGACCCTCACGCAAGTCAAGTCAACTTTATTTATAGATCACATTTAAAACAGAACCTGTTATTAAAGTGCTTAACAACAACAAAAACAATCAATGAGAGTAAAATTAAAGAGAAAAAAAAATAT